CATTAAAATTTCTATGGGACCAATATGTATGTATGTCCTTACAAATATTCTAAATCCATTTAAAATCGACAGAGTTATGAGGTAACAAATGTAAAACAAATACAACCGGACCGTGAACCTCTGTCTTTTTGAAGTCGATTGAAAACGTTAATTAATATATTTGCTTATTCGACCAATTAATTATAGATAAAAATATATGACTTCATCCTAACAGTAGAATGAGATGTTTTAAAATGGACGCTGCTGCCCATTCATCGCCTTCCTTTAGTCGCCTCTAACGCCTATTAAATGTAATGTAATTTGTACATGGCCAACAATTAATTTGCATGCTTTAGACTATAAGGCGAACATCTGTACTTCACAATAAATCAATATCCGTAAAAACAATTTTTCTAGCAAATAAATCAATCTATCTGTCTATCAATCTACGACACACACGGAAAAGGAATGGGTTGTCTATTCTTTGCCGGGACCATAAGCGACATAATATGGTGGAAGAATGGATCCTCAACTTTCAACAGTCGATGCCGATCTAATCGGACGTAAATAAACAACAAGGTGAGTTATCTTTCTTTTTTCTTAATTCTATTATCACATAATTCTATTAATTGCAGTTAGTATTCTGTTTTGCTCCACATATCGCCACGATAATCCTTCCATTTAACGAAGAAACATTAGATGTTTGCTACTTAATCACTAAATACTAAATACTTGAACAGCTAAACGTATTTAAATGTAATTTGCTACGTAAAAGATTAAAAAAAAAGGGAAATTAAATCTATGAAGATTATTTGCTTTAATGTTTAACTATTTTAATTATTATTTTCAAAGTAAGGTACGTTTTTATGAGAGAACTACAAAATTTTACAATTTATTTAATTTTTTCTATCGCTTATAGCTGGACAAGAGTATTGGTCGAATTACTAATTGAATTAGAATACTAATTGATTTTCAGAACACTAAAAACCACTCATATAAAATACTCCAGATCCTTAATAAATGTACGTTATACATATTAAAATTAAAATAAATAAGACATGTATGTATTTCTATGTATATGTATTTATATATTTACATATGGATGTATTTAAGTATGTATTAGTAACTTGAAATATATATTTATGTATTCCCATTATTGTACGTATACGTATCTCCATATGTATTTAAAAAATTAACAGAATTTCGTGCCTCCAGTCAAACTGTTTATAATTACTCCTCTCCATCCAAAGGTTGCCTGGGAGAGGTCGCTCTTAGCGATAAGACCGCCTATTGTTTTCTTAGTGTAATATTTTGTTGTAATTGTTTATATTTATAATAAGTTTGCTATTGTAATCTTATGGAGGAAACAATAAAGAGTCTATCTATCTGTCTATTCAAAATGAATGTCAAATAAAAATAGATTTAAATCAGACCAATAAATTTAATTAGGCACATATCCAATATTGTCAAGAAAGATAAATAATTATATTTTATATGTTATACCAATAAGAAATTTAATTTTTTTATATCAATGTATCTTATGGAAACAATAAAGAGTATCTATCTATCTATCTATGTATAAGTGAAGTGAGTTCGAGATCTCATAGTGGATGCGTTAAAAGCGACAATGCGTTACGAACCGTAAACCTACAGGGTGTCTTGATTCGATATCCTTTTATTGTTTTCTGATGTCACACGTTTTGCACCGTGATAGGTTGACGAGAATGTTACTGTTTCTATTTGTAACCGACTTGGAAATGGAATAAATTGGGAATTCCCTCCCTTTCACTTTCAGATTTTCAGAACAATATAAATAAACATACTAATGAATATAAATTATTTGTATTGTTAGTTGAGAAGTAAAAAGGGATTTGAAATATGTTTATTTTGTCTTATAATTTTTGCACCTTTTTAATGCGTAAACACTCATTTTATTTATTAAATAACACGTTAAGATACATTTTATGGGTAAATATATAGAATACTGATAAAAAAAACGAGTCAGCTAATTTGACAATTAGCTGATAAAAAGTTAACCCGTTTTTCGTGGCTCGATGCTCTATCTATATAATGTAAGCTTGAATCATATTGCTGCTGCTTCACTTCAGAGATACATATGCCAGTCAAACAATGTCTAATACATGGCAAAAGTAAATAATATTATATTATTACTTGGACAAAACTAAACAAAAGCTAACAGAAATTAACTAACAACGCGTTTATCTTGCTCTTTCTACGTATTCATTTTATTCGCAGTACTGAAAGATATTTTCCCTCGTTACACTTCTTTACTGAGTCTTAAACCGAAGGGATAAGGTATAAAATAACTTGGCAGCTTCAGTACTAAGACATAGAAGCCTTGATATATGAGTAAACATTCCACGGCGATGTATAGGAAGGAATGAACATGAATATAGTAATAAGTAAACATAATCGAGATAAATCCCCGTGTGTTTTCGTTAAGGAAACCTCTCACGGTACGAGTATCTGGACAGCGGGAGATATTTACTGTCCTACAGTCACTGGCTCTAATAATGGAATGGTATAGAACGGGCCACCTATTTCAGGCCCGTAGGGACCCGACTAAGGGAACTTGGAGGGGAAAGGGATTGTTAGCAATGTAGTTTGACAGCTCCATTGCTAGCAATATATCCTATTAGGTCGACCTCCACGTGGTTCCCCCTGGAAACCATCGTGAACAGTTCTCGTTGGATTCGTCACGACGGGCTAACTGACCTGCTTCATTCTCACCTATCATCCTTCACTGGTGCCCCGCCGGTGTACACCGATAGCGCGGTTGGTATATCACCTCTACCATTACATTATCACACTTGAAAACGAAACTAAGGGAACTTAAGGGATGGGCAGCAACGTCCCTTTCAAAACATCACCAAAGCCTAACTCAAGAATCTTTCTTCTCCATCGGTTGTCGATTCGAAACTATGTGACCAGCCCATTGCCACTTTAGCTTACTTATCCTTCTGGCTAGGTCGGTGACTTTGGTTCTTTTACGGATATCCTCATTTCAAATTCTGCCACGCAAAATAATGGGTGAAAGAAAAATACAATAGTTATCGGTCCATAAAACTAATTTATCGATTCAAAATACTACAAATAAATTTTAGTCTACCATACTGTCTCAACAGCTAAACGCGCCGTGTAAGTATGCGAGGCAAGGGGGGCTAGGGATTGTTAGTAATGGGGTCTAATTGCCCCTATGCTAGCAATACACCCTACCAGGCCGACCTCCACGCGGTTCCCCCTGAAAACTATCGTGGTTAATTCTAGTGCAGTTCGTCACGTCCTGCTAACTGACCTGCTTTCGTCGTCACCTATTATCTCTCACTGGTGCCCCGCCAGCGTATACTGTTAATGCAAGCGGGATGGCCAGTTCATTATTACCCATTAAAAAAAAGTATGCGAGGCTCTAGATACATACATACACATCAGTCACGCTTGTCTCAAGATATTTGTCGTTTTTCGACTCTTTTTGATTTCTTTGATGAAAATGTTCGCTTTTGCTGAAACACTTCGTTTTTCCCTTTCAAAAATACTAACGATTTCGAATTCACCCTGTATATGAAAACAATAATAATAAAAAAATTAAATTAACTTTATTATTAATAAATAATAACTTGCAGAGGAAATATAGACTTATAATTTTATATTGCAGTAGGAATATAACATTTTTTATGAGACCTAAAAGAATGAGGTTTACCGACTAATAGTTGACTTCCATAGTATAACAGGTTCAAATCCCATTGGAACGAATTGTCAAAAATGAATTACTAGTAAATTATATCCATTTAAATAACCAATAGTCCAAATAGTACAAAAATACCAGTTACATTCTTAATGCATTAATATAATAAACTCTCTAATCATGGTGAGCTTGTTTCCTGGTTTAAAAATTAGTGATGTGCCGAGGCATACTCACTCGAGAACCTAATAGGTACTAAATGTGGGGGGAGGGATTGTTAGTAATGGAGACTAAAGACCCTGTAGCGGAGAATAATCGAAACTAAAAATAATATAAACTAAAAATAATATAAACATTCTAATAATTCATTAATTCCGCTCCGCTTATAAACATTGCGGCAACACTGTAAGCGAAGTGCATGAAGATAGCGGCCGACTGCGGCCGCAACGTTTTGGCAGCGCGGCTAACTTTGCGGGTACTCTCCAATGCGCGTATTACGTATGCACTGTGTTTGCCTATATTTAAATTATTATTTGTATAATCTCACCTATATTGTATTGTCATTGTTTATGTGCTTGTGGGCTACGCAAATAAATCATTTTATTGTCTAAAAACTGCATTCGCTCCGTGTATGCGTAAGTTCATTTTTTACTGTATACCCACCATCAACAAACATTAGTGAACCTCGGATAAATACAGAGTTGGTGAGGGCCTAGGAGTCATCAAAGGGCCCTACACCACAGTGGTGACCCCGTGTATCATATTCAGCGAAATATTATTTTTTAAATTTTCAAATTCAACAGTTGTTGACGCAGGTACAAAGTCCAACTTATAAGAACCTGGCGCAAATCATAAGCGGTGAGCGATTAATAATATTTTTTTTTTAACATGTCTGAGCGTGATGAATTTTCGGATGTGCATGTTTGGTGGTAAACGACTGGACCAAATGGTTTTCAAAAAATCCATAGGTACTGATGGACCAGCCAAACTCTGCATATGACGTAAGAATTGCGATGGTTTACGATCGCCGAGTTCCTCATGTATGAGTAATTGCTTTACGCGTTTTTCTTGAGAGGCTGAAAGACGTTTGATGAGCTCAGATTTAAGTTTGTCATATTTATTAGTGGAGGGTGGATTGGTAATTATATCCTTCACCTCAGCAGCGTACTGGTGATCTAATTGTGCTACTAAATAACAAAATTTGGTCTCATCTGTCGTTATTTTTGAGAGTGTAAATTGACTTTCCACCTGGGCGAACCATAAACTTGGTTCCTCTGGCCAAAATGGTGGTATTCTTACACCCACTCTGGTACTTCTCGGGATGCGCAGTTCTTATAAAGAAGACCTTCAAACATCTCCTGCAGAACTGGTCTATGGTGAACCAATCCATTTGCCAGGTCAGTTTTTGTCTCCCAAAGATGACTACACAACATCCGATGTCACCGAGTACGCTAACCGTCTTTGTTCTCAAATGACCAAGTTAACACCACGACCGACTTCATGGCACACATCTACATCATCGCCATTTTACATACCACGAGATTTATCTACTTCATCTCACGTGTTCCTGCGGCAAGATCGAGTTCGTAGTTCCTTGGAAGCACCATATGTTGGCCCTTTTAAAGTTCTTAACAGGCAACCCAAGTACTTTACCTTAGACCTCCAAGGCAAGAAAACCAATGTCACTATAGACAGACTAAAGCCAGCTTACATAATGAAGGAACCTCAAATTAAAGAACTTCCACCTACGCAGTCATCACCTCTTCCTTCTGCGACCAAAACTTTCGTAGAAGAAAAGAGAACAAGAAGTGGCAGAAGAGTACAATTTCCTGATTTTTATCGACCGTAGTCACGGTCTGGTCGGGGGGAAGATGTAGCGGAGAATAATCGAAACTAAAAATAATATAAACTAAAAATAATATAAACATTCTAATAATTCATTAATTCCGCTCCGCTTATAAACATTGCGGCAACACTGTAAGCGAAGTGCATGAAGATAGCGGCCGACTGCGGCCGCAACGTTTTGGCAGCGCCGCTAACTTTGCGGGTACTCTCCAATGCGCGTATTACGTATGCACTGTGTTTGCCTATATTTAAATTATTATTTGTATAATCTCACCTATATTGTATTGTCATTGTTTATGTGCTTGTGGGCTACGCAAATAAATCATTTTATTGTCTAAAAACTGCATTCGCTCCGTGTATGCGTAAGTTCATTTTTTACTGTATACCCACCATCAACAAACATTAGTGAACCTCGGATAAATACAGAGTTGGTGAGGGCCTAGGAGTCATCAAAGGGCCCTACACCACAACCCTATTGCTAGCAATATACTCAACCAGGTCGATCTCCCCGTGGTCCACCCTGGAAACCATCGTGCTGAATTCCAAGTGTATTTATCACGATGGGCTAACTAACCTGATTTTTTCATTCTCATCTATCATCTATCACTGGTGCCCCGCCAGTGTACACCGTTAGCGCAGACGGGGTTACCATTCGATTATTATCCATTAAAAAAATTGGGTATAAGGTAATCGAATAATCAATATACAGCAGCCTTTCCCAAAGTGGGCGATAACGCCCCCTTGTGGGCGCTACAGGCCTACCCAGAAAAAAAATGAGGGCATTGTGTAGAGGCTCGTTTAGAATTAGAATAGAATAGAATAGAATAGAAATCATTTATTCAAATAAACTTACATTGAAGCACTTTTGAAAAGTCATTACATTTTTTTTTAATTTACCTCTCGTTCGGAAAGCTGTCTCATCACAAGAAGAACGAGCAAGAAACTTGCGTGTTGCTCTTTTAAATAATTTTATTATTACTTTACATTTTCAAGTTTAATTGTGTGAATACAAACCACCAATTAGCACTAATTCAATTAAATACTCAAAAAGAAAAAAAATATTGAATACATAACCAACTGGTTAAACAATTAATAAGAGGAAATCAGTCATAGTGATTAGAGCAGACCATCCCTACAAGCAGCACCCGTTCACGAGTATGACGGATGAGCCAGCCATCACTGCGCTCGACCATATTTTAGGGAGCCCAATGACCAGGCCCACCACGCCGCCACAAGTCTGGACATTTTAGTGAGCATGACTAATCAAAACACTAGACCACGTCAAAGCTTCTCACAATTGCCATCTGATAGTTATAGTATTCACATTTTACATAAGAATGCATGCGGCAATTAATACAAAAAACCGCTACGCTTTCATATTTCTAAAATTAATCAATTAAATCAAGAAAGAAATGAGAAAATAAAATTATAACGTTGTATGCTAATAAACTAATTATTTACTTGATATGTTGTCATCTATGAATTCGTCTATCCTGTAATAGGCTTTCTTACATAAAAATTGTTTAATATAAGATTTGAATTGCCTCTCTGTCAGATTTAATGCAGATTCCGGCAGTTTATTATAAAATCTTATGCTAATTACCATAGAATGAATTACTGATTTTGTGCAGACGGCATTTAAAAATAAGCTTATTTATATTGCGTAAGTTTCTACTTGTACAGTCTTTGAGTTTTTTAAAACTCTCTAAGTTCTTCCGTGTATACATAATATTTTCATAAATGTATTGTGAAGTAACTGTGAGGATATTTGAGTCTTTAAAGCACTGACGTAATGACTCTCTCGAACCCATACCATAAATAGAACGTATGGCTCTCTTTTGTAAAACAAATATAGTATTTATATCGGCTGCTTTACCCCACAGCAGTATGCCATAAGACATTATGCTATGGAAATAACTAAAATATACAAGTTTAGCCGTTGCCACGTTGTTAATTGTCAATTCTTCTAATTGCATATGCAGCAGAACTGAGTCTACTGGCCAATTTTGAAATATGGGGCCCCCATTGTAATTTCGAGTCCACTGTTATACCTAAAAAAACTGTATCATTAACAAAATTTACTATTTCATCATTAAGCAATAACTGTGTATTTATTAGTCTTACATTAAAAAAAAATTTTATACACTTTGTTTTGCTGGAATTTAATAATAGGTTATTACATGTAAACCAATTTAATATTGCAGACATAGCACAATTTACATCGTCTAATTGATTACTTTGACGTCCAATTTTAAACACTAACGAAGTATCATCCGCAAACAGCACTATATCTGCAATTTTCTCTTTAATTAATGTTTAATCTCCGATAATATAGCTCAACATTTAAATTTTAATTTAATTAAATTAATTGACTAATAATTTACAATAATTGATTAATTTAATTTGAATAATAGTGGTTTTTAAGTAGGTGAAAAAATGGGGTTGCTAAAAATAATTTATTCTCAAAGTGGGCAGTAGGCAAAATAAGTTTGGGAACCCCTGAATACAGTGATCAAATACATAACACTTCGTTAAGGTTTCGAGTAATTTTATTGTTAAATGTTTCATAAGCACATATTATATTTATATTGTTATATTATTAGGTTTCGAATACTTTATAATACTCGTATGTTTATTATACTTGTAATTTATTGTTACTATTTCAAATTTTTAGTAATATTTTCTTTAATTATTAAAAACCTTATCAAATCGCTGAATCATTTATTTTTTACATATATACTTTAGAGTTCAATTAAAAAAGTAATCGACTATGTTAAAGTATCCGAATATCCGTACAAGTAGATACTCGAGTACGAGAGATACTATTCGAGTCAAACCCGAGTCGGGATTCTTATTTTATCGAGTATCAAAAATATTCGAATAGCAAAAGTTGTTGACTCGTCACATCACTATAGAGAATATGGTTTCCCATTTTAGTTCTGCGGGCATTCTTCAAGGGGTACGCATTTCTTGGTCTTCGTATCCCTCACAGTAGGCGGGTCGCAGTAACAAGCAGAGAAGTCACAGATGAGGCCAGCACGCGTGTCTTTAACTGGCTTCGGCTCCTCGCAGGTGGGTTCTGGGGTTATGAAGTCGCAGCCGACTGCATACCCATGGGTGCCTTCCTCGCATTCTCTTACACCTGAAATGATACAGTATTGATTTTTTATTTTTTCTTATCATCATTTTTACAGGAAACAATCATTTTTAAAAGGAATTATTATATCAGCCTTAAACTGTCCACTGATGAGCACAAGCCTCTCCCTTAGCGGATTTTGCCAATAGTTGCTATGCTCGGCAGGTGGTTTAAAACAAGAAGGACGCTGCTGCCCATCCCTCAGTTGTCTCTTACGGCACCCACGGGAAAAGACCCCTTCCTTTTCTATACCGGGACTATATGGCAATTAATTTCCGTTAAGTTCCAACATAGAATGGGCCATCCCTTCCTTTTTTATACCATGAAATTGACAAACAGACATACACCCCATCTAATATCATATTAACCGTCCATAGATAATCTAACGGTCACGGTAGCCTATGGACACCTGCAACACTAGGGGTGTCACGTTCGCATTGCTGACCCTGAAGAAACTTTAACACACAACTTTTGAAGAACCAAATACTGTAGTCTCTAGAGAAAACCTCGGCGGGGAGCTCATTCCACAGCTTGAACGTTCGCGAAAAAAACTCTATTGAAACCTTTGTTTTTAAACCTAGAAGTGTTCCTTAATGTTACGTGACTTAAAGTCCGGTGTATGTTTTATCTTGATGCGCCATCTATAGTGATTTATTAAATTAATTTTCCTTCTCATAAAGATCGTCTGTACAAAATCCCAGGCTAAAGTTTGTACCAATAAAACACATATATACATAAACGTTATGTAAACGTAAACAAAGCTAATATCAATAAAATAGTATTGACATAATCAAGGTTGCGTATAAGTTAGTGTGCGAACAAGACTCCAGTTATCATTAATATATAGTAGGTACATACACTTATAAACATATATCGAGTAATTATTATCAACCAATATACCAGAGAATAACTTTGTACAAAAGTCGTTTGCTTGTGTACCTCGGTCCCATTCGTGTTTCAACCGTGAAGCAGTTGTGTTTGCATGGCTGTGTTTCGGTTTGAAGGGTGGGATATGGCGTGAATTTACAGGGTACAGAGGAATAACACCTGAGTCCTCAGGAATGGTAACGCATGGAGGGTATCATGGGCGAAACAGTGTACTCTGTTATGTCCATGGTACTGCTCATGTCTATAGGCGACGGTTACCACTTTCCATCAGGTGGGCCGTCAGCTTGTTTGCCATTCTTAGTTGTATAAAAAAAAATTATCTTCAATAACAAATTTTGGACTGGGAGAAATCCCTTCAAGGGATAAGTTGGCCTGTTTACACTTTGGTATAACCTAATATCTATAAGAAAATGTACAAAAGCATATAAATAAATAAATAAATTGATCGTCGTATTAGTCCTGGTATAAAATGGACTTCCTTTCCCGCGAGTGTCGTAAGAGGCGACTAAGGGAACTTATGGTGGAAGGTCCTTCTTAAAATATATGTAAAAATCTAACTGTAATTGCTAATCCGCCTGCCAAACGTGGTAACTACTGGCAGAACTCCCCTTATAGGGGAGGCTTATGTTCAGCAGTGGACATTTTTATTTTTAATGGGTGAAAATGGAATGGTAACCCCGCCTGCGCTATCGGGATATGCTGGCGGGGCACTAGTGAAGGGTAATAGATGAGAATGAAAACAGGCCAGTTGGCCCATCATGATGAATTCATCAGGAATTAACCATGATAGTTTCCAGCGGAACCGCGAGGAGGTTGACCTGGTTGGGTATATTGCTAGCAATGGGATTCTTAGTCTCCATTACTAACTATGCCTTTCCCCCCAGCAGTGGACAGTTAAAGATTGTTAAGATGATGATGAAGTTAGAAGGATAGAGATAGGTATCAAAAGACGTTTGTACAGTTCACGGCGCCCACGGGCAAGGAAGGTGTGGCCTATTCTATACCGGAACCACACGGCAATTCCATTCCAATTCTATAATCGCTTGGTAAAATACACGTAAATTTACTTACACATTTATTAAATACACTTACATCTCCCTAATGCGTAAATACAGCCACGCGAACGCAGTTTCGTATCTCCTAGCGCCAACCCGACCAGAACAAATGCACACAAATAAAACAAGCACTTCATATTAAAAATTTGTCTTTCGAATTTTGTCGAATTACAGAACTAGCCTTAAACACTCGTCCTATCTTACTGACCCGGTAATCTTAAAATTATCTCTTTATATTCGCATCGGTATTCGATTAATCGAGTGACGTTAAATGACGAGAATTGACTAATTATGTATCCCATTTGACGGTGATAAATTTGATATGTTTGTATAACTAAATTGAATTATAATATACTATGTTGTTATTAGCTAATTATCGGAGTTATATTTAGTATTTAGAAATTTAGCTGCCTTATTCTTTTTAATTATAAGTAGGTTTCTTAGCAGAGGAAGACTTTGTACAAAAGTCGTTTGCTTGGGCACCTCTGTCTCATTCCTGTTTCTACTGTGAAGCAGTTGTGTTTGCATGGCTGTGTTTCGGTTTGAAGGGCAGCAGCAGATATGGCAGTGAATTTACAGGGTACAAAGGAATAACACCTGAGTCCTCAGAAATGGCAACGCATGGAGGGTATCACGGGCGAAACAGTATACTCTGTTATGTCCATGGTACTGCTCATGTCTATAGACGACGGTTACCACTTTCCATCAGGTGGGCCGTCAGCTTGTTTACCATTCTTAGTTGTATAAAAAAAGGTTTTATATTTTAATATAATAATAACCGGTTTATCTTACGTGTAATTAAATCGAAATAGCGATTTTAAATATAACTAAAATATTTAAAAATCGACGAGACATTTTATAGACATATAAATTTGTAATTATGGATGTATGTTTATCACTATTTTACGCATAAATTTACCAAACAGATTTGAATAAAATTTGGTATATGGGTAAGTCATATCCTTACTTACCACATATGGTACTCATTCACGCGAGCGGTGCCGCAGGATACAGCTTATATAATATATAATAAGATAATAAAAATTAAGACTAAAATATTTCTGTACCCTGTAATTTCATAGCCCTACAAAGCAAAATAGCTATACGAGCATCACAGCAAAAACACTGGGTGAAAATATTAGCGGATAAACTGGGTGTTAATTACAGAGTAGGACAGGAGTACCCAAGCAGACCTTTCAATACTTGACATAGATAGATAGATATACTCTTTATTGTTTCCTCTGAAAGATTTCAGTTGTAAACTTATTATAGATACAAACAAACAATTACAAGAAATGTTTACACTGAAAAAACAATGGACGATCTTATCGCCAAAAGCGATCTCTTTCAGTTAACCTTTGGTAATTATTTTATTTCATTCTATATTATTTAACAGTTAAGTTTCTGTGATATTGGCGTCGATTCTGAGGCGCCATTTTCTAATAGAATTAATCATGATAGTTTCCAGGGGGAACCGCGAGGAGGTCGATCAGGTTGGGTATATTGCTAGCAATGGGATTCTTAGTCTCCATTACTAACAATCCCATTCCCCACGGCCTTCCGCTATTGGAGAAGTTTAGACAGTAGTTACCACGCTTGGCAGATAGATTGACAACAATGCTTAGAGGATTGGCAACAGCAGTTAGGCTTTGGTGATGTCTTAAGAGGAGCTCTGCTGTTCACGATGGTTTCATTGGTTGACCTGATATGATGTCGAACTCCATTGCTAACAATCCCTTTCCCCCTGGGCAGCGATAGTCACTTACCATCAAGTGAGCCGCATGCTCGTTTGCCTCCTGTATTGTAAAAAAGAAAGAAAAAACCCATAGTGATATGCACTTATTATATATATGCAAAAACAGTAGATATTAAGTATGTTTACATTGTACACATTTTACTGCGTTTTGTCTAAGTTTGTTGTGAGATCATTATTGATATAAACTGTTGACAATAACCCACAAGGTCATTGTTTATAAATTTTATCAATCTACTCATAATAATACGAGTATACTGTTGATATCCCGAGTCCCGGATTCAATTACGGTCAGGCCAGTTGAGGAAAATTGATATAAGACCATTCTACCACCTGTTTAATGGGGCAGAAATAAAATTCTACCACCTGTCTAAGGGAGCAAAATGAGCACTCTACCACCTGCCTAAACAATAACCATCTAAACAAGGTCGGCGAACAATTCCAATCGATCTAAGGGGAATGAATAAGCATTCTGTAACCTGTCCAAGGGGGCAGAATTAGCATTCTACCACCTGCTTAAGAAGGCAGAATGAGTATTCTGTCAGCTGTTTAAACAACAACGATCTAAACAACGGTGGTGAACAATTCCAATCGATAGATATGATTTTGCTACTGCATGTAATTAAGTATAAAATAATAAGAGACAGAAAAGTCCAAATTCTTTGTCTTTCTCACAGGCAGCATATCTTATTTACCAATAAATTATAGTAATTAAAATTTTTTTATAGAATAAAAATGAAATGGTAACCCCACCTATACTATCAGAATACGCTGACGGAGCCTCAATGAAGGATAACAGGTGAAGACAAAATATGATGAAAAATTCCGCTTGCAAAGGGGCCGCATGTCCCCATTACTAACAATCCCTTAGCCCCTGTCTTTGAAATAGCGTGCATTCATGTATTGTGGTGACCTCACATACTTACCATCTGGTAGAGCATCCATATTCTTTTTTATTGTTAGGGAGTCAAACGAGCAGACGGCTCACCTGATGGGAAGCGCCTACCGTTGCCCACGATCACTTGCAACATCAAAGGAGTTGCTTGTAAGTTGCTGTCTTTTTAAACGTTTGTTGGCACGTTTATTGAAGTTCCCCATATTATATTGTAAAGGGAAAACTGCTGACGGGAGCTCATTATGCAACCTAGATGTACGAGATAGAAACGAACGAGACGCATGGACAGTAGTAGTATGCCATGCACCCAAGAAATATCTCTGAAAATAATAAATGCATTGAGGGAAATTTTTGACCCCAAACAGTGATAAAAATAAGGTCGGGTCACTTTGATAATAACGGTAAATATTTATGACACATTTACAAGAACTGTACGACTTTATAATAACACATATTTCATAGTTATTTACATATATTTATGTAGTTATAGTGTCGTATGGTCCCGGCATAGAATAGGTCATCCCTTCCTTTCACGTGGGTGTCGTAAGAGGCGACTAAGTGGATTTAATGGTCGAAAAATGGCAGCAACGTCCCTCTTATGGATGAGAGTTTCAGCAATGGCCAGTTAACGTCTGATATGACAATAATATAGACATAAATTGTGTTGTAAAGAGGGAGACTTTGTACAAAAGTCGATTGCTTGGGTATCTCTGTCTGTTTCGGTTTGAAGGGTGAGATATGTCGTGAATTTACAGGGTACAGAGGTATAACATCTGAGTCCTCTGGAATGGCAACGCATGGGAGTATCATGAGCGAAACAGTATACTCTGTTATGTCCATGGTACTGCTCATGTTAGCTTGTTTGCCATTCTAAATTGTATAAAAACAAAAATTTGCTACAAACATATCCTAACGTAATAAGTAGGATAATTCATATTCACGCGAGCAACGCCGCAGGACACAGCTTGTATGTCAAAATTATCAAGAGCAGTTTATTTCCAATCAAACAATAAACTACGAACCAACAGGATGACTCTTCGCCATTTAGTACTACCGTTAGTTCAATCTGACACCGTACGGGTGGATATACCGGTATTGATAAAAACTTGTTGCACAACAAATAGTTGTGGCCATTACACAGGCGACTTCACAAGCAGAGCGACGAGCGGAGCGGAAACTATGATTGAATAAACAGATTTTAAATTTTTGTTTATAAGACAAAGGTGGCAAACAAGCGTTTTTCCCGGTTTATGGTTTATAAGCGACGATAATTAACCAAATAAGTTCGTCCAAAGTAAGTTCGTTGAATCTCGATCGCGTTAATTCCCGGTAAACATTCATGGTAAACGATGAAAGTAGCCTATGGACTCCTGTAACAATTTAATTCAAAGTATTTCGATTTTTATCTATATGTTAGCCGTGTGGTTCTGACATAGAATGGGTCACCCCGTCCTTTCCTGTAGGTGTCATAAGAAATGACTAAGGGAACTTAATGGTCAAAAGATGTGCAGCAACGTACCCCTGAAAACATCATCACAGCCTAACTGCGGTTGCTAACTCACCTGCCAAGCATAGCAACTTCTATTGAAACACCCTTTTATGAGGGAAGCTTAAGTTCAACAATGATAACGGCTAAAATGATATGACGATCTATATATTATGTGATAACTTAGCCATTTATTGTGTGAAATACATTGTACCCAATGGGAATTACAAATGTGGCTGACAGTTGTCACACAGGGAAAAATAATGTACTGGTTTTTATTAGATGAATTATTTTATTTGATTCCGCTAATACAATACACGTGTGACTACTAACAAATTATGAGGATTGACTTATTAGTAAATATAAAACAAATTAGAAGAGTTAAATAGTAATATTAATAATTTTGTATCACTAACCTATTTGGATATAATTCGTGATGCAATTGATTAAAACTCTCAGCTCTATTCTGAATCATCTTGCAATGAACATTCATACATTTTTTAATATTTCATTTTACTTTAATTTAATAAAATAATTAAAATTCATTGTATTATAAATGTAAAAATGTATAAGTATGGATGGATGGATGGGTCTATAGATTTTTCAAGCAAAAACTATTAAACCTATTTTAATGAGATTTATTACACGAGTACATTATACCCTAATTTAGGACAAAGGAAGCTTTACAATCCACGCGGGCAAACCGCTCGTTTTACAGCCACACCATTGATCATGAACTAGAATGCTATTGTTCAAACACACTGACACAGTTCGACCGTCCAATTCTACTACAACTGTGCATATACGGGTATTTTGACACATCTAGTGCAGTATTTCTTTATAATTATGTTTATTTCACGAAACAATGTCTATGGACTGTTCCATTGAATGTATTTCGTAATCATAGATTATGTACATACTTTTTTTTTATAAAATTTTTTTTTTGGAACAAATTGAACAATAACAAAATTAATAATATGAACGTGTTTATTCAGTAATTGTTCTGTAGCACCCTTCTAAAATGTCTTGATCTACTAAGTATATTGCATTCCATAATATACTTAGTAGATAACATTTCAATTATA